GGATAAATGCCCATCAGGGTACCTGTGTATACCCGATTCAGTGATAGGGGTGTGTTAATTGGGATTTCAAACCAAAGATCAAGGTAAGATTTGCATGAAAATATTTACTCTTACCAAAACACACAGAAAACTCATTGATGAAAAATACCAATATTACACATTATATATTGAGGTATTTTGCTTTGCTTAGATAGAGGATATGAAGATAACGAACAGTATTAAATATCAAAGTCCATAAAAGAATACAAATTAGGAGCAGAGCAAACACGGACCTCCAAAACATTAGAAGTGGAATCAGGTGCCATGGAGGAGTAAGCTGGTCTTCATAATTTTGTTCTGAGGAGTTTGAATTTTTCATTACTTAAAAAATACTTTTTAACAAAATAATATTATCTTTTACAAAATGGGTATTAAAAAATACTGAACAGTCTGTGGTCATATTGAAAATAGAATCTGTCCCATCGTAGTTCATTCGCCATGTTCTGTTTTATCCTTATCCTTAATTTAGCGATAAATGACATATTGGCTCTCAAACTAGGCTTGGTCAAGATTTCTTTAATAAAGTTCTTATTTAGGGATCAGTGAGTATAAAAAAGTTAAAGGAGGGCACAACTATTATGTAATATTCCAAAATTAGTCAATACTTCAAAAGAAGATTAATTTTTTTTTTGTTTTGTATTCCGGTAAAGTGAAACTGTAGATGTACGAGGGGTGATCAAAAAGTTCGCAAACTATCTCTATATCTACAAAACCACAATTCAAATTAGAATGAAATTCGGTACACACATAGCCATACACAAGGTCTATAAATAGCATATGCTGAATAAAGTTTCTCTCCTTGTTTGTGACGTCACAATGTGAAAATGACGTCACTATTTAGGTCACTTGTGACGAAAAATGGGTCGAACCAGTTGAACTCGTTCACCAAACGACTAGGAATTTGATTGTAATATCTTAGAAATCCCTCTACAGTATCATATAATAATTTGTACACAGTTTATTGAGATAAATGAGTTCCTAAAAATTCAATTAATGATTGGAATAATCGTTTTAGTGAAGGAAGGCTGATGGTTAAAAATGATACTTGTCGTCTTGCCCCAGTGAAAGCAAGTTTGAAAGATATGATTTTTAATTAAGCAATTTGCTAACAAAGACCTCCAATTAGCACCTTGAAAAATAGTTGAATATTTGAACAATGATATAAGTATTAAATACCTAAGATATCGTTTACTTTAGATTTTAAACATATTAGATATGATAAAAAGGATGCACCCATTCTCTATCCACCTTGAAGAAAGGTCTCTCCTACAGAAGATTTGTGTTTTAATGGTCGCCATGCTTATTTTTGGAAGGATGTTATTATTCACCCATTCTGTTGCCGAGATATGACCATTTCTGACAAATTAACTGTTCTTGTCATAAAAATTCACTCACATGGAAAGAAATAGACAACTCGGAAAAATCTTTTAAGTTTTTTGTGATAACGCTACGGAGGGTCACGTGACCGCCAATATCACGTGATTCGCGCATGCGCAGAACGGTAGTTGATGTGCATTAAAATCGGGGAGGATTAATTTAAAATATAATCATTATTAAAACCAAATATTGTTTCTTGTATGGAAGTTATTCAATTAGTTTGCAAACTTTTTGATCAACCCTCGTAGTTTTGAATCGATCTTGAAATTACACTAGGATGGATCTGCTTCAATGTGCGCTTGAGTGCATTGGCTATTACCAATTATCAATTCAAATTTCCGTGGAAGAAGTTGTAAGTAATGTCATACAGGTTTCTATTCAATCTGACTAAAATTAATTTAAACATTATAAAACTTATTACTTTTCTTTATAGTTTTACCATCATTGAAATAAGATATAAGCACAAATGTGTGACAGATTATGCAAATGAAATTTTTATAAAAACGTTCATTCATCTATGTATCTCTCCCCCCACCATGGAGTTCAAGGTTTGGATAAAGAAAAAAACAATATATTTTTATACCAATATTACCCCGGGATATACACTACATGGAAATCAGTTTAAATTTACCTATACTGAAATGAGTTTGAACAGAAGAGATTATATAGTACATGTATATCAAAATAATAAATGAACTTTTTACACTATAGCTAGGGCTTTCACCTTTATTACATCATCTAACCTGAGGTGATTTTGATTTAAATATAAAGATAAAGCATCCATTCCAAAGTCTATGTACATTTGTTTCCTAATAGTAACGACATAATTTTTATTTTCCAGAATACAAGTAACAGATTGAGAAGCAAGTAACTATAGAAGTTTTGTGATATATATGCTTATTTTTACATACATTTCTCGATGTAAATATGTAATTGCAGCATCGTATAATAATGAATGACAATGTTTACTACATTTGTTTATTTATGACTTATTTTTATAACTATAGCTAGTAACAAATGTCGACGTAGCAAGAACTAGGTTTTACAGTCAAGGGGTATCCCCAGAAAACTTAACACGTTAGATTTTGTATAATATTACTTTCATTTAAAATACCCACTTTCTGCTCTACCTTCTTCATAAGCGTCCTACTTTAGATTTTATCCCTTACTTTTCTAGGCAATTGTCTCGTTGAAACGTGTAAAAAGTCTAATACTCCATTTTACCACAATTAAACTTTAAGCACTGCAAGTCGCTAGGTAAAAAGGAAGCTAAAACGATTGTGTAATAACTAAGTATGAAAAGTAGGTAAGATAAGCATTTTTCCTGTGAGAATGTAAAATGAGATGAAATTTATATTATGTTAACTAAATAATAAATAGTAAATAAATGATAATAAATAAATCATTTCATTGCATTGTTTAGTTGTATGTCGTTAAACGTCCCATTTGAGAAATCCTGGAAGCTTACATGTATGCCAGTTATGGCCTTCAAGTTTAGGCCTGCACTCAGACAAGCTTGGGGTCAATCACTTTGAAATGTAATTTCAAATACATTGATAATTTTGTCAATTACTTGCAATAACAATTACATTGATTTTTTCAAATGTAATTAATTACTTTCAATCACTTTGACAAATGTAATTAAATACATTTCAATTATTTCGAGTTTTATTTTATAAAAAAAAATGAAATGTTTTTTTTTAAATAAGACTTTTCTATAGCGATCGAATTCTAACTTTCATTCAGTGTTTTTGTTCTTGGGTATGATAGCGGTTCACATCTGGTCAAAATTAGACCTTTTCCTTATAATGAGTGTGACACACTGTATAAACAAATTAAACATTATGAGACAATTAATTATTGTACAAACACAGTCCCATGTTACACCAGTATGGTGTATGGCAAATAATTCTTTTTTGTTACTTTCTCAAATCCATATTTTTGAAGGAAATAAATAATATCTATCACAATTCCATTCATTATTTTCTATCTTAAAATGAATAGAATGCAGGTAAATCTAAAAGGGGATGAAGTTAGTCTAATTGCTGTAAAACAAATTTACTATCTTAAAATCATTGTTATTTGCAAGTGGGAGAGGGCAGCAATCTAGAGATTTATAAAACATGGGAATACGTAATATAAACTCACCAGTATAAAACTATGTATCAGTATAAGACACCTTTTTAAATATAAAGTTTCATTTTGAAAAAAAAGTAATTGAAATGTAATTGAAAAGTAATTGAAAATACATGGCCATTTTTGAAATGTATTTAAATACATTCAATTACTTGTAATTGAAGGCTCGCTCAAATACAAATTACTTCCAATTACTTTGAAAATCTAATCAATTACACTCAATTACAATACTTTATTCAATTACCCCATCCCTACTTAGAGCCACCTAGACTTAAGGTTCTCTCTATCGCCCAAATCCTAACCTGACCTGGGACCTCGGTTTTTAAGGTCTCATCCAAAAGTGTACTTTTAAAAGTGTTTAATGCAGAACACTTAGCAAAGGAAAATTCACAAGTTTCAACATTGTATTCTTATTTTTTATTTTACTTGTTGTCAATCGTATATCAGCACTGGGTCACTGCTGACCAAATGGATATTGCGAGGGGAAAGTAAAAAAAGTTATTGCTTTCTTTTTTACAACAATTTAATAGGTTTTTATGATGAAACAATTAAGATTTTGGTAAAAGTATGTATAAAGTTCTATCGTGTATCTTCTGCGCCAGGACACATTTTTTATCGATATTATAGAGAAAGAGTGCTCTAGTTCCCCAAGTTCATTTCACGAAGACATTTACAATTGTAAATACAATGTATTTCATAATAAAGATAATCATTCAGTTATTAAAACATAGTTTTTTTATTGCATAATATTAACCAAAAAAACCAATCTTTTTGTTAATATAGATTTAGAGTTTTTTTTATTATTTTTATTTCATAAATAACGAACCTATGAAAAAAATTCAAGCTGTTTATAGAAATTATAAATCTTTCTTCTTTTGAAAATAATAGAACTCCCTCAAGTTTAAACACGTTTTGTTTACAGAACAAGACATTACGTAAATTAAACATTCAGCCGACAAAAGAAGTTAATGCTCTTAAAATATTTTTTTAATTTTAGGTATTTTGTCAGTTCTTGTTTGTTCTTTTACTACAATTGAAAAATGAAGAGAAAACGAATATCGATTTAAAAAAAATAATAATTTTGACCATAAGTTTGAAAAATATGGGTCGAGTTGAAATTGAGTTATAGATAATTAAATTGTATAACATAACAATGTTTGCAAAATTGTACAAAAGAAATTGTAAGTTCAATTTCTTTTACTTTTTTTAATTTCTTAAAGATATGCACTCATGGTGGTACTACTTTAACAAGAAGTCACGTGTTGCATGAAGCATGGCGCTTGGATACCGTATCCCGGTCAGGCGCTTTCATCATCAGATTAACAAATAGTGATAAATGAGATGGCATTTTAAGAAAACATATAATATTCTGTATATGATAGTTTCATATATATAGTGGTAAAAATTCACTTTATTTCATTACTTTTAGCTACTATTGCCATGGTTGCTGCTGCAGCTTTATCTGTTATATTCGAGTTATTAGGCGTCATTATGTTAAGGATTTTGAACATTTGTTGGCCCGGAGAAAAAACTCTCCAGTAAGCAGGTTCCTTTTTTAATACATGTCAATTTATATTGTTCATTTTCATCTGAATTGGTGTATTTATAATCAATGAAAACAGTAATAATAGTATCCTTTCAGCTGATACGATAATTAAAATTATTATGATTATGTAATTTGCTGAAGATATATGTACATTGTATAACAAAGCAAAAAAGTTCTAGCTTGCACGCTATTCATTTTAAGCTCTTATGATTCAAAGGCTTAAGTAGGCTTTTCTGATCGAAGACTGTCTTCTGAAAACTGGTGAAAAACAACTTTTTCGACTTTTTCTCAAGAACACTGAACCAATTTCAAACAAACTTATCACAAATCAAGGGGATTGGGTTAATCGTGTAAATGAAGAACCATGCCCCTTTCGAGGGAGATAAATAAGAAAAGTGAAAAGTTTAATTACTCCATTTAATTTCTTCTCAAGAACCACAGAGACAGAAAATAAAACTTGTTTGAAAATTTTCTTCATAATATATACATGTATTCAAGTTTGTTCAAATTATGACAAAAGGAATAAAATTTCAAATGTTCTTCTCAAGAACAGCAGCAAAACCATTATAAATCATATAATTATGGAAATATTCTCAATTATTGTAGCCTTAATTTTGTTTAATTTATAAGCCCCGGGTGTAGGTTATAAAGACTTCTTCAAAAGTGACATATTTCTATTTTTCTCTGGACAGATGCTCAGGTATGCGACGTTCGCCATTTGTTCTCTTGTCATGTCAGTTATTTTCTCTATAAATGTTCAATGAATTTAATTTACATGTATTTCCTTTTGTAGAATTTCTAAGTGTAACCCAACCTCTCTAAAAATTAGACTAATAACATCCATCTTTCACATTTGTGGAGTCATTATAGGCTACATCCTGATGCTCTGTGTCATGACGATGAATGTTTGGATACTTATATCAATTTTACTGGGGACCTTCGCAGGCCATCATTTTAAGCAATCAAATAGAAAAGAACAAACAGAGGTAAACCACCTTAAAGAAAGTGATAACCACATTGGAATACGATCAAATAAAGAAACAAGAAGTGAACAATGTGAACTATTTCTTGACGCGGAGGAAGAACGGACCGGATCACATTCAGAAACAGAGCCTCTCAAAAAGAATGGTTGTGAAACTTGAATAATATAATTTCCGAAATAATTTTGGAAAGTTCTAGAGCAGTTCAAAGTGCAAGCGGATGGAATTTACTCCCATTTTTGAAATTCCATAGCTGGGTCACTTGACATAGCATTTAGTGTTTACACAAGCGTTCGAAAGAAAAAAAACCTACAACGTTTAACATCTGTGTTATATCTTGTGTATGAAGCATTGTAATAATTTGTATTTGAATTTTAGATAGTACAACATAGATGGAATATAATATTGCATATTCTTGTGGAAACCGATGACTGTTTATCAAAAATAGTGATATCTAGTTTTTAAAAAATCTGTATGAAAGATTGTTAATAAATTGTAAACTAAATCATGAGACATTTATCAGTTTGAACCCTTTTTCAACATTTAAAGTACATTTACCATCTTTTTACAAATAGTTTACACCAATAAAAGTAGTAAAATATGTATATCTTTTTTAAAATTAATTTATACAGGGACGAGCAGGTGCAATTATGACCAAAAAAATTACACAACCCGGGTACACGAGTTACTAGTATGTATTTTTATGCAATGTTGCAACAGCTTCAATATGGATTTCAGACTCTGAGTGGTTTTCATGTATAATAGTTTTAATTAGCAATCTTAAATCAGAACTATTTTGTTTGAATTCATTGTCCGAAAATATTCATGGTTTTCAATTTCATCTCTTTCTCTAATAATGCAGTGACCTTTCTTGAAACTCCTCTCAGAGAATTACTAATCAACTATCAAAGTAAACAAGGAGTAACCTACGAAAATAAAGAAAATTAATAAATGTAGTTATGTATGAAGATGTTTTTAAAAATCGTTAACCAAAACCACGTTCTTGTAAAAAAAAGTTATATTACACATCGCAAAATGCACAAAAGAAAATAAGACTTAAAATATTTAATTTTTCCTCGTGAGGAAGAAATTACAGTGGATAGAGGCACTTAACTTATGTGCGAGAGGACTATCTAAGATTTTGGAACTTGTGTTCAATCACATTGACTTGTTGTCAGTAAAATATATTCAAAACAACTTATGTGAAGTAATACACTGTAAATAACAATGTTCGTATGTTGAAATATATGGATATTACGAACTGTATTCAAGCTCTAAAGTGCATTAAACAATACAAATCAGCAGCATCAGAGGTGGAATTAGGTGCCATGGAGGAGTGAACATCCCCTGCCGACAGTTCACACCCGCCATGTGCACCTGTCATGATCGGGATCCCATCTCTGATGCTTAAGAGTCCCCTGTTTGCTCGGCTCCGGATTTGTATTATTAACTGGACGTTTGAATTAGAATTCTGTTCGTTATCTCCATATATTTCATTGTACTTGCTGACAACGCCATGTATCGACAATAGAACTAAAGAAATGATGAATTTAAACGAGACTGCTGATAGTCTTGTTTCATCAACTTATTTGTCAATAACTTTCCACGTTTTAAAAATACTTTTAACGTAGAGCTTGCTCTTGTGTATTGTATGATGCAGGATATAAAACCCGTATATAGGTGATAAGGGTTTATTGCTGTATAAGTAAGGGAAATTTACGACTGAAAAGTTAAACGTCACCACGTTTACCATAAAGCCGTACATTTACGTTTTTTAAAGTAAAAAATATCTAAATATGAAACAGATGTTTCAGACTCTGTAGTATCTTTTATGCAAGCTCGCCAGAATATATCGTATCGATATAATTATGAAAATGATAATTGTAAATTGACGATACGTCATCGATATAGACATGTATCTAAAAGTCTAGCTGAAGGCCACAGCAAGTGTTCACTTCTTTTCACATATAAAAAACCAAATCAAAATACTTACTAGAACTTTCTTTTATATGTTTCTAAATATCAAATATTAATAAAATTTCATTTTCTTCGAATTGAAGAAAGAAAACAGATAAGCATAACAACCTGCAATCAAATAAAAGTTGTTTTTTTCAAACCCTTTTTTTTTTAGCGTTTTAAAGTTTAAATAACACTAAGTCTTACAAAAACAAATATTTTTATCGTTACGTAGAGGTCTTTTCATATAAATGCTATTGATAAAAAGAAGGTATGGGAGCGAAATGTTTGTCAATAATGCTGCCAATGATATGTTTTACTGGGTACATCATTGTAGAATATCCATGGATAAGTTACAAGGAAGTCATTAAGACATTATTTGGAAACGAAAGAATACTGTAGGAAGGTTAACATCGCAGATAGAAATTATCCACGTGACCCTAACACAGAAAGGTAAGGAATTTATTTTAATAAAATATTATTTAAACAAAGTACTGGTACTTTAAATCTTTTTAAAAATAAAATTGTATCGTAGACTTTTTAAAAGAAAAAATATGAAAAATCGAAGCAATAAATGCGTTTTTAAAATACGTTGAGTTCAAATGAACCTAAGCTTTAGTGACTTTGCTGTTTTTTTTGTCTGTCTGTTCTCGTGGTTAACTTTTCGAACTTTCATCTACCTCAATAAAATGTTGAAAACGTCTTTAAATCAAACTTTCTAAAAAGAATAACTTTTTCCAATGACATGGATTCCAGCTGTTTTAACTGAAATGTCATGTTTTCCTTAAACACGGACGGAAAGTAGGGGATATGATGAAACTAGAATAAAAATTTAAAAAATACAAGGAAACCATTGTAAAACTTAATCGTATTGATATTCAAACACAAGTCTGAATATTGTATACTAGTATTATTCTCTTAGAAGATAACTTTTTGGTAGATTGTATTTTTAAAAGCAATTTCAATAGAATTGAGAACAATAATAAAATTTATTGAATAGATTTCAAATTGTCTTCAAATAGATTTTAAGAGGTTCGTTTTTCATTTGATCTGCTCCTAATTTGTATTGCTTCAATGGCCTTTTGGGGTCTTGAGTACTGTTTGCTATCTCCAAATTTCACTCAATGCTTGTTTTTAAATAGAAACCATTTTATCAGAATAATAAATTTCTTTTCTATTCATAAGCTTATCTACAAAATCAGTGTTACATAACACAGGTATACTTTTAAAATATCTGGCAATCGATAGTCCTGCAACAATTTGACAATCTGAGAAAAAGGATACACTTACTCTACCTCTTTGCATAGATTCTTTCTTAATAAACTGGAATGCCTCTTCTAAGTCGCCAGGAAACGTAATGAAAGAATTTCAGTTGTTCAGAATATGACAATATAAAATGAGATATACTTTTGTGTTCATCGGGTGTTTATATTTTTCCATTTACTTAGAAAATCAATAACTCAAATTTTATTTTAAGAGGAACTTTAATTTTTTTTTTAAGAATGAATTTTTGGTGGACAACCTACACAAGAGCTCACATGCTGCACAAGGCATGGAGACTAGATACGTATACTGGTTTGTATACAGTACCGACATTGTCTGTTGAATTTCATCATAAATAACGACTAATTGTTTTCATTTTTTAAAAATTTCTTTTGAGTGGTTCAGATTTTAGAATTTGTTTACTGATAATCACCTAACATAAATATCAATTTCTTTGTAGGATTAATATTTGCTATGGTCCTTGCAGCAGTTTTATCTTTCGTATTTGAATTCATGGACATTATAAAGCTAAAATTTCTTAAAACATGCTGGCCTGATCGAAGATTTCTTCGGTGAGTTTTTTGAAAACCTTGTAATATCAAGTCATGTTTACTTCTCTATGGCACTTGATCCCACCTTTCAGAAATCCGCTTAGCTCTGCTCTGGATTTGTTTAGTTTGAAACTCAAGTTTCAGTTTGAAGTCATTTCTGTGATTTCACTATTTGTCTTAAAGATTTTATTCTGTTTGATTTGCTGAAAATTTGATTTTTGTTTTTAATTTTGAGATACGTTATTGATTGAATTTATGTTTATCATAATAATCTTCATAATTCAAGTGTGCCAAACTTATTTATTTATTTAACTTTTTTTGGTTACTATTTTTTTGGCCTAAAAATCAATAAATCCACATTGACAGAGCCTCAAATTGCAGTCTCTTCTCCTAAGCATCAGATTGACAACAACCATCTTCTACACCCTTCAGTTGATCATGACCTACATTCTAATGCTGAGTGTTATGACAATGAATGTTTGGATATTGCTGACAGTTCTTCTGGGAACAGCTGCAGGATATTTCTTCAAACGAATATCCAGAAAAGTTGACCTAATACTGTATTGAAGTAGGAGTTAACTACCCTGGGATTCAAATAACTAGGGACACAATTGTGAGAAACAAACACTGCCAGGCTTTGCTGGAGAAAGAGGAAGGAAAGATATTGCAATCAGAGACAGATCCGATGATGGTTACAGACGAAGGCTGTGTTACACAGCTGACATTTCATTAGAACCTTAAAATTGCCTTGGGTGGCTTTTTGAAATTTTAAGTGTGTTCTCTGCCTGTTGATGAAATTTTGAGGAAGAGTTTGGTTTAGAGTTTTGGTGTTTGGTTTCCATTTTTGGATTAATTAAGCATGATTACCGATTAAATTCTGGTATTTACCTCATATTTAATTTGCAATTATGCAATTCAAATCAGATTAACTTTCAAAAATCAAAGAAATATCTTGACCGGGCACGTAGCAACGGGGGGGGGGGGGGGGGGGGGGGGGGGCTGCCCCCCTCCACTTTTTTATCCTGCAGGAAATTGATATTTAAGGGAAATCTAATGTTGAATACAAAAAAAATGGTACTGAAAAAAGTTGGCATTGAAAAAGTTGGCCTCTAATTCCCGCAACCCCCACCCCACCCCACCCCACCCCACGAAATAGGATTTTCGAGTTTGGGCAATGTTCCTATTTTGTCAACTTTTTCAAGTAAGTAAAAAAATTCTCTCTGGCTGCCCCCCCCCCCCACTCTGTCAAAAACGATGCTACATGGCCGTTGACATCCATGTCTTGATTTACCGTTAAATTTCGCATTGATGGGTCACTAATAAATCATTCAATTATGTTGCTTAATAAAAGGTACATGTAAATGTCATTTCTTTTAAACTTTGTTGTTATCCTATGTTATCCTAGAATCAGAGACGTATACCAACACTCCTATCTTACATAGATAAGAGAAAAATATAATGGCATATTATGTTAATTTGATCTTGTTGGCATTACATTCACGTGTTAAAAAAATAAACATTAACACGTGTCTATGTTTTTTGTGTCATCTAGTTTGTTTCAATGAGTTCTCAATGATTTAATAGAACGTGTGTTGCTATTTGAATGATGTAAATGTAACTATATAAATTGGTACGAGATAAAATCTACTATTACGCACATATAGGTTTTGATCACGTGACCAATTTCTTTTCATATCTTTAATAAAACTTACAAATGATATTCTATTTCTTAAATGAATCAAAACATTAAATTCATAAAACAAAGAAACCCACCTAAATGATGTTAGATTTCAAGTGCACACGTTCGTTTTCCTGTGAAGGATGTCGTCGTGAATTGGAGCATTGTCAAATTTTACATAGAAAACAAAACACAATGAAATAACCAATTGTTTAAAGGGTGAAGTTTTTACGGCAGGATTATCAAGTATGGCATTTTGAACTATATAACAAGGGGAAAAAAGTAAGTAAACTGTGTTAAACTTACAAATATAACATATTTTTTGTTCAAAGAAATATACTTTCGAGAAAAATATGTAAGAAAAATCAAAAATATTTTTACACACTGTATTATTCAATAGATAAATGATAAGAATATAATAATAAAAAAAAAAATTCAGGTATCTAAATCAAGGCTTGGGACAAGTCGTAAAATAATTATGTTTACTTATAAATGAAAATTTCTCAGAGCAATGTAGTTAATTGTTCAGTTGTTTAATCGGATGGGAAATGTATGCACATCAACTTTTTTGTACCTTTTCGAACAATATGTTATTTTTGTTTAATACATTTTATTTAAGTTACTATACCTTGTATACCTTGTCCGATTTGAATCGGAAATAATTTCATACTATATAATATTGTTGGTTAAAAATGGCTTTCCTAACTTTGGAGCGTTTGAATTTTCCAGAAAATGTGAGAAAAATTTAAAATTTTGGCCTTCTTCATGGTGAAGTATAATGTACCCTGTACTCTAAGTTACATATGCATGAATATCATGTTGCTTTCTTTTTTCAATCTAAATTTTAACTTAAAACGAATTCAGTAAAATATAATTTTACTTAAAGATACGATCTTGGAGGCTTTTTAGAATGGGCTTTTTTCGGAAGGATTTCGAAGATTTTGGGGTGGGGGTATTTCATTCGGGAAACATGTTCTTCGTGTAAAACCTCTTGTGATAAACATTTAATCGGTATCAATCAATGCATCTAATTTTTTTACATCGATTTTAAGGATGCACGGCTACTGGTCTACATCATCAAGATTCCATTTATTGCACCAAGCATGGCATATTGGGACCGACAATGGTAATTATTTTCGTTTTTTAAGGACCATGTTTTCACAAAGGATTAATTGTTCAAATGACAATTTAATATAATTGTTGGAAAAGTCTGAAAAAATAAAACACAATTAATATCAGACTTTGTATATATATATTTTTTCAGAAAGTTCATTATAAGTAAATGTTCACGTACTTTTCACTTTTCTTTGATATGTTATATTGTTGTTTACCTTATTAATTAATTTTTCAAAAAAAAAATTATAACCTTTAAGTTTTTTTTCCAAAGATTCTGGAAAATATTATTTACAATTTCTTTCTTACTATTTTTAGATTTAGCAGTAGCCATGGTTATGAGTGCGCTTCTCTCTATTGTATACGAGTTCCTTGACCTAATTTATTACAGAATTGTTACCAAGTTGAGACAAACTGAAAAGAATTTTCAGCAGTAGGTTTCTATTGAATGTTGTTTTGAAATCAATTTTTGATTAGCATTATACGAATGTAAAGGACACAATTCTTGAATGTTATTTGTATTTTATGAAATCTTATTGGGTAATCGACTCACTCAGGTGACCCAGATATGTTTCTTCTGTCACCGTGCGTCGTGTCTCAACATTTAACATTTTCAGTTCTTTTGTGGAGTCATTAATTGATTGATTGTATGTTGTTTAACGTCCCTCTCGAGATTTTTCACTCATATGGAGACGCCACCACTTGCCGGTGGAGAGCTACAAATTTTGTCCTTACTCGGCACTCAGGGCCATTGAGCAGTGAGGGATCTTTTTTTGTTTAAGCACCTATTGCGACACGGGGCCTCGGTTTATACGGTCTCATCCGAAGGACCGGTCTCTACGTCCCACAGTGGGATTCGAACCCGCGACGTAAGGATAGACTCCTTACTTCGCTACTCTAGAGCAGACGCTCTAACCACTGCGCCACGCAAGCGACGATTCAATAAGATATTTTCCTATTCTAATATATTCTTAATGTAAAATTTTGATCCCCTGTTTTTGTCTAGCTCTACGCCATGGAGTCATGATTTGATAAGTCTTGAGCAGATTCTGTATGAATATGATTAATCATAGCTTTGATTTTTCTAAGCAAATGTTTTTTTAATAAGACCGGCGGACCATTCAGTATAAAAAAAAAAACAAAGGCCTTACAATCGATTTCACAAAAAAAAAACAAAAAAAAAACCAAAAAAACCAACAATAAAATGATGATTTTCCTAACAAAGTCATTATAACGACAATAAATTTACGAAATGCCGATGTTAATTGGGGCTGTTGAAACCCCAGTAACATCATTTTATTTGTCAGTAGCCTGCCTCGAATTCAAAACTGTTCGAACACGGATGTTGATTTTGAGCTGATATCAAAAGAAAACTTTGAGATATAAACACCAGAGGTTGGTTGTATTTACGTAATAGATAAGGAAAATCGATGATGGAAAATTGAAATCATCTCTTTTTTTCTTACAATTTTGTTTTGGCTCTTATCGTCTAAAGAGTAAATTAAATGAAACATTCAAATATTTTTTTGATTTCGGACAACAAATTTACATCCATAAATTTAGTTTGTTTCATTATACCATTATCTATCAATTGTCACTCGTAGGTTCCTTTACAGGGTAATATTACAGTCGTTTGAATGCGAGCGTAAGGTCTCTTGTTGAAATGGGAAATCAACTTGTAAAGGAGCAGACTTTCAATTTTATTTGATAAGAAATAGCAATCAATACCCATAATGATAAAAACCTGTTTTTTTCCATTGAATCTGTACTAGATTCATCACTTTTTTTCTAATCAAACTAATATAATTGTGCAATTTTTTGGACAGATCTACAGCATGTAACCCTACTGTTCTCCCAAGACGGTGTATTGGATCGCTATTGTACGTTATTCGGGTTATCAATGGGTACATCATAATGCTGTGTGTAATGACGATGAATGTATGGATAGTCCTGTCTGTTTTGGTCGGTACCATGCTCGGCTATTTCACCAAGTACTACTTTAGAGGAAAGATGTCTACCAAAACAAAAGAGGAAACTAAAAACAAAGGAGAACAATGCGAACAGAGACCAAACTGCCACAACACGTCAAACGAAGCAGAGACATTACTTTTACAAAATACTCCATGTGGCTATTTAAGTTGAAGAAAAAGAAGACTGATCATAAAAACTCACCAGTTTGAGCATACTCAGAAGGAAATTTCGAATTCTTGCTTTGAAGTGTTTATTTAATGTTTAACGTACTCACATACATGTACATATTTAAATAAATAATCTATAATGGTAACCAGAACTTCATTTTATTCAGTCGAAAATATTTTACTGTAAAAATATGTTTTGTATTTTCTTATGATAAATGCTGAAACGGTTGAAAGAAATCTCTTAAATTTTTGCAGGGGGGAATTAATTTTGAAAATGTGATTGTTGCAAACCTACATAATTTCTGGACCGTGAAAACCGATTTCTTGGGAGAAAAATGCCTTTAAAATTCCCCCCTTGAAAGTGCATAATGCACTCTTATGTTTGTAACTATGTTGTATCGTTAACTAATCTGTATATTATAGTACTTTGTAAATGTATTATCTTCATTTCATAAAATTATTGAGGTATATAACGGTTTTGGATGGAGCTTCTAGAATGCTGAGAATTTTTGACTGGCAATTTTCAAATGAAAATGTTAGAACTGGCGCAAAACAAGTTTTAAAACATGGATGAACTGTACAAGCGACATGCCAGTTTTTCAGAAATCCGCAAACAAACGAAAATACAGAAACTTCAATTCTAGTTTTGACAAATTATTTTATTCATTAACGACGTTCGATCCTGATATTTAAAGTCTTAAACTTTTTTTTTTGCCAAGTATATTTTTAGTTTCTACATACATAGCTTAATTAAAATTCCAATCAAAAAATGGGGGTCAATACGCTTCTTTTGGCGCTACAGTACATTTAATATGACCTTTTTGCACTGAAATTTGTGTGTTAATTAAAAATTGTATTTTTGAAGGTTTCCTCCAATATTTTTTATCCAATTAAGCATGAACAAAATGAAATCTAAGTTTGTTTAAAAAAAGACACTTAAAAATTGTGACGGAGAAAAAGTTTTAAGAGCCATTCTCTGTAATGACTTGAAATTTTATATAGGAGCTGTGGCACGCATAGTCTCAGAATTTCTCCAAACTCTCTCTGATAAAAGTCATTGATACCCGTACTGAATCAGGAAAAATTGGTTGCTATGTTTTATAGTTACCATGGCAACGTGTCTTAAAGTTCGAAAAATGGCATTTTTTAACATGTTTAGAGCCCCATAGTTAACATTTGCGGCAAAGCAAACAATTGGCATGAACTGTTTCCAAAAGTTGAAGGTCACAAGTCTCAATGCATGATAAACATGTTTGGTAAATCAACTATTACATACGTTACTATGGTAACAAAGTATTCAAAAGTAAAAAAAATATTCATTGAATTTTATAAAGTCATACACGTAAAAATAAAAAGCAATTATAGGATGAAATGTGACCAAATAATAGAAAAAAGAGCCTTGAAACATATACCAAGAACAAAATATGATATTTCATTTTGGTTGGAAATGGTTGCCAAGGTTTTTATACCACAGAGAGCCTTCCCAAGTAACACTCTGTATTTTTAAATCTGATCTGTCTCTTTTAACAAAGCACATTTCCTCATAATGATTATTAATTTTTAAAGATGTTGATGCGTTCTAAGTTTTCCCATTTGAAAAAATTCAGATTAGATTCTTTAAATAGAGCGTTGCTATGGAAATAAGCAGAAAATATATGCTTAAAAACCTGAAAAATATTTTCTTTCCTTGATACGTACCCTTAAATGTAGATTCCCAACTTTAAAAATTATTGATATTTATTAACAGTGACCCTGACTTTTAATTTTGACTATCATCCAATCTCGAAGTGGATGCAAAGTTGGCACACAGGGTTTAATATTGATATAAAGTTCACAAAATCAATATTTTCCCTTCGTGCAACCATAGCAACAGTGTTGTTTTCTTCATAAAATTTTGTCAATATATGATATTCAACTTCAGTTCTAACAGATAAGTATTATTCAAATGCTTTAATTGGTTTATTATATGGCAATTTAATTCTTAATGCAGCGAAAAATAATTCACTTTTAAGCACTGGTACTTTGTTTCCATGGTAACACTGCAAAGTAGCAATTATACCCAATTTTTCTTGATGGTTTTGGTGTTGCAGGGTCCTAAGGATGCATATTTGCTAGTTTCTGAATTTTCAAGTTTTTCCAGAAGAGCATTACCGCATTTAATTTTTATGATGTTTTGTAGGTATGAACATGCTATGAGCCATGGCAACCATGAAAATTATTTATAGAAAAATATTGCTTATACTTATATACTTAAGGTCAACAATTTTCATCGTTTTTTCTTAAGTCGTTGATTGAGTTTGAGCATGTAACACCTACCATTAGTGAATACGGAGTATTTTTCAGCATATTTCAGCAATTTGGAATGTATTCCAAATGTACCCTTGGTTACCACTTATTTAGAGATATATTCTAAACAGTTTCTTTACAGTATAAGTGACATCAGGTGTCATGTTTTTGTGAGAATGGTTTGTTTGCTTTTTCTAGTTTTTATTAAGCCACAGCCAAGATTTAAAATGGCTGAAAATCTCGATTTTTCAAACTTTTCCTGCTGTTGCCATAGCAACCAAGACACTTAGCAACGAAATTTTGTTTGATATTTGTTTCTGGTGTCAAGTACTAAGCATAGGTGAAGTTTCATCAAAATCGGTGACCATGCGTGGCAACGAAGTTGAAGTGGTTACAGAGAATGGCTATTAAGTGTGTAAATTACAATTTTTATATGCCAGATGAGACAGAAAATGTAAAAAAAAAAAATTATCTCTACTTTTGAAAAACTGTCGCTTTGTCATGAGTTTTATAGAAATGATTTTAGAGGAAACGTTACCTTGGTATTGTCAGCCTCACACAATGCTGTGCATCACGCCTATAACGACAGTTGCCCCGCCCCTCTGCTCCCACGTGGAGCATGTTGCAGTCAGGATCGGGCTGGTACTTTACAATGTCTAACAGCGCTTGTTGGAGAGTACACGGACAAGGTTCTGCAACACTCAACTTTGGAGACGAACCTTCTTTTTTTATCCAGTCTTTACAAAAAAGGCTAGCGTTAGTTCTGGATGGCGTGACTGGGAACATGTCAGACCATATTCCTCTCTGTGGCCTGACCAGAAAGATTAGATTTCACGTATAAACATGTAATAATAGTCATCATTTAAGAATTAAAATACAAAAAAATATTGAGTAAACTACTAATGTTAACTTACATTATAAATGCAGTCTGCACACGAGATGTCACCCGTAGAATGGCAACCTGCTCAGTCATCTTTAAACGAAAAGTCGTCCAACCGATTGAGTTCAATATATTCGTCTTTGCAATAAAAGGATTTAATTTAATCTCACCATTTTCCTCCTTTGATTTTGAAAAGAAAAAAAAACATACGCCAATTTTCTACAATATACTTTAAAAATATCTTTTTTTAAAAATATACAGCTATGAAAAATACAGTAAAAGAAAAATGTGACCTTTATTTAGGATTTTGAGGATATTTCTAACGATTACTTGTATTTGTATTCGAAGTTTTTATTTTGGAAAGTTTCAAAGCTAGATATTATGTTCAAACGAATACACGAAAGTTCATTTATATCATATATCGTAAATAATTAAACATAATTTGGTATACCATAATAAACATTTCACTTTACTAATACATGTACTACTGTCAGTTAAACGAATTTCTTGCGTACATAAAAGCTTTCAATGTTCGTGCATTTAATAAGGAGGTTTAATTTGCTACAGTTTTATGAAACAGTATACCCTGAGATAGATGGAACAGCGGATTTCCACCTATCCCCAGAGAGTGAAAACAATGTGATTCCGGTTTTCACATTATGCCTTGATTGTTTGTTTGTTTGTTGAAGTCCCTCTCGCGAATTTTTCACTCATATGGAGACGCCACTACTTGCCAGTGGAGAGCTGCAAATATTGACCTGTACTCGACACTTAGGGCCATTGAGCAGTGAGGGATCGTTTTTGTTACAGCATCTATTGTGACACGGGACCTCGCTTTATACAGTCTTATCCAAAGGACCGGTCTCCATGTCCCACAGTGGGATTCGAATCCGCGACTCTAGAACAGACGCTCTTCCACTGTGGACGACTAAACCTTGATTATGTATACGCGATGATCTAGTGCGCTACAGTTTTTACTAGTATTCTTTTTAACAGCGTAATATTTGTAACGTGACTGTTTATCTTTCAAGATCTACTCACTACTGTTTGACTGAGCCACTGCTTTATTCCAGCATTGTACATGTACATGTACATTGATTGTTAGAACGTAGAGATCAACTGAGCTACAGTTTTTTATCCCATGTTTAACCCTTTATCCCGTTGATATAGTTCATATGCATATGATATCGTTTTCGTATCACACAGTTGTGACGTCACAATGGGTTTTGCGTTAGAGTGAAAGTAAAATGAAGTGGAGTCCAATATAAAACAGTGATAGTGCTGTATAAACCATGGGATAAAAAGAATCTCACATGATATGTAGTTGGATATGATTTTTATCCAACTCGTTGTGTGTTTTTATTCCCTCGCCAAGGCTCGGAGATAAAAAAAACACACAACTCGTTGAATAAAAATCATATCCAACTACAAATCATGTGAGATTCTATATATAGCATTAAACTTTATTTGTGCCTCTGGTTTGCGTAGATATATCTACTGCTGGGTTTTTTTCAGCAGTTAACTTTTGTATTTGATTTGTTATACGTAGAAATCTACTAAGCCACTGTTTTACAACAATTGTACCTTGATGGTATATCCTGCGCTATTGCTCTTTACGCATTATACTTGTACCTTGGTTGTGAATACAAGAGATCTACTGCACTACATATCCTCATACTCATGATACTTGTACCTTGATTGTGAATACAATAGATCTACTGCATTACATATCCTCATACTCATGATACTTGTACCTTGATTGTGAAAACAAGAGATCTACTGCACTACATATCCTCATACTCATGATACTTGTACCTTGATTGCGAATACAAGAGATCTACTGCACTACATGTCCTCATACTCATGATAGTTGTACCTTGATAGTGAATACAAGAGATCTACTGCACTACATGTCCTCATACTCATGATACTTGTACCTTGATGGTCTACTGTGCTACTGTTTTGAAGTTCTTTCACGTTACCATTCCACGAAATATTATGTTCATCATTTTCCCAGCTGTTTCCGTTATGGCGATTTACAAGGACTTTGCTGAAAGCAGGATTCACTGAAAGTAATTTTTAACAGATAATGACATTGTCCTTATTTATATTAGTAATTAATTATATGTATACATTTTAAAATGTAAGATTTTTTTTCAGTTTATAAAAAAAATGTCATATCGATTTACACATACATCTGAGAATGCAACGCAGTGGAAGAAATTCAATTCACTGTCTGCAAAAGGGATAAACAAAAAGGGCACATAAATATTATATTCAACTTCATCATTGCTGAGTATTTTTACGGGGATTACATGGTTTCACACAGAAGAAAGATTCAAAGAGTATTTGATGCATGTACTTACAAACAGTGTAGTTTCCAATAAACATATCGGTTTTGTTTTGATTAGCCAATATGATATCTACTTGGACATCACCAGTGCTGTCAAACATAGGTGTAATGCAATAAAAGCTGTAGGGTGAGTCCATTTCACATATTAATGTATATCTAGTGTTGGAGAACTTGATTTTGAATGAAGTATATTCTTCTAGACATGGTCCACTGAATGTCAGGTGTTGACCACCGAGCATTGGACCACTCCGTGGCGTTATGATGACATTGCCTGAATAGGAATAAATAAAGAAACAATTAGGCAGGTTTGGACCAAACTCCAAAAAGGTTATTAGGAGCCGAGCGGGCTATAAGTAAAATATCACAAACAGGCTATATAAATTTATCGGGATTGTATCTTGGGACTTCAATGTACTGAAAGGAAAAAGAAACGCAGGGTAAACTTTTAAGCTGAAATAAATTTAATTTTCGTAAGTATTTTCTACTTTTCCCATCTAACGTTTAAAATCATCTTTAATGAAAATGTAACCGAAATCTCATTTGATTTTTGCCTCATTATTCACGTGTTATAGACTCTCACATGACGAGACATCCCAAAAGTGAAAACAGAAAAATCTCAATATCTTTGATGTCATTCGCGAATCTGTCACAGTCTTGATTCTCCTTTGTTTATGAGAAAGTCTTGATAAACCCAGGCTACACTAGGCATAGGGGTAAACACGCTGAAAAAATTAGGAAAACGGTAGTAAGGTGGCGCTTAAACAGGTGACAGGATGAATTACCCGATCTTGACGTGGATCTGTAACGTCATCGTCATGGTTGATCGGAAACCATTCAAAAACCTCTCTGATGACGGTTAAGACGTTCTATTGGGAGAAAATTTACTAGCGACTGCACAGCAACCAGTTGTTGCCTTTGTCCATAACTTAGGCAAGGTAAAAGCCAGATCCCATGGAACGTCCGTCAACTGTTACAAGATTACATGCATATCGTCTATAAGTACGGAAAAACAATGTGTATACCTCAAGTGCATCAAATGGTACAAGAAGATTGTTGACATACTTATCTTCATCAAGTAGTGCTCACGTGTTTTTTTTCTTTTTCTCTGCGTGACGTCATATATTTTACGGTTGAGTAATTCTGAACACTGATGTGCCTAGTAACCAAGATTCTCATCTGACTATTTTCGTAATTTTTGGTCATGCATTCGTATATTATGTTACCCTGTGTTTCTTTTTCCTTTCAGTAGGCCTATATAAAAGGCACATGAAATGTTCGCTGTAACAACCTAAATCGTCGCGGGAAAGGGAGTTAAAAAATATCAACATTCTCATTCTATAAGGGTTAGATAAGGGTAAAATTTTATAAATGTCTACCTTTTTATGTTTTTCTTTTAGACAAAAGTATAATTCATTTAAAATGTAGACTTATTTTGATAAATAGGAGTAAAAATTTAAATTTTGCTTTAGAGAACACGTTAGATACATTGTTCTTTACCACTGCACTTGAAATCTTAAGGAAACCAACTTGAAGATTGTACCAACTAATATTTCTATAAAATAAAGCCTCTTTTCCTTCCTACTTTTGCTAGGTACCAACTTGCTTGAACTGATCATCTTATGCTAATCCCGAATGTTTTTTCCACGCCTTCCTATACCTAATTACATGTATACCTATTTTGATTCCTTCACAATAAGCGAGTTTCCCACCCATTTTTTAGAGGTACTTCGATTTCTCCATACATCTTACGCAGAATCTGAATGATTTTTTCCACCTACCTGTAGTTTGTAGCAATGTATATTCCCATAGAAATATACAAGCTAACACTGTATCTACCTTTGACACTCAGGTCCATTTAAATTTTATATATATGTCTATTTGTATTGCATGTCATTCCTAAATTGATACATACTTCAAATTGTGCAAGTGATTTGAGGCTACGTATAGGCGTTTCTATGCAAATGAGCTAATAAAAATGCAAAAGAGAACCTCTATGTATTATACAGAGACAGATTAAATTAATTTTATTGTACATACTTAGTTCCAAAGGCATGTTATAGCTAGTGCACATTAAGACGTCATTGTTCTTTAGTACTCAAAGTAATAATACACATCAATAAAAGGCTTTGGCGCAAGGGCATACCCTGTTTATTTTTAAGTAAATAATGTATAATTCTAGGAATAATATTCAAAAGATCAACAAAAGTGCTGCGCAAATCCTATATGCATTTTCTCGTTTGATTATAATTTGAGGAAACTTACACTGGACTGTGAATTTTTATCCCGTTTCAACTCAAAACTTTACAAATCGTAACTAAACAATTAATTTGTCGACATTTGCGCAGCAATATCACAAATCCTTGGAATATTCTGCTTCTAATTAGACCCTGTTTCTGTAAAAGTACATAGGGAATGTCCTTGCGCCCAAGTTTTTTTTATGTTCTTTGGGGCTATATAAAAATGTCGTAGAGAAGTTTTAACCTTTCCTGTTCAATAAGTATGGCCCTTATGCGTTTTTATTAAGCGGCATTATATCATTAGCGGTTGCTACAATGCACTGCATTGTATTAGAATATTAACCATACAAACAACAGGTACGACAGTGATCAAATCATTCGTGGACTCTGGTGATAAAATTCTCATTACGTTTACAACTTTGATAATTATTATTTTGACATAAATGGTTACTTAAAAACTAGAAAATACAAGTGTATTTCTGTAATATATGAAACTTAATACCTTTTGTATTACACCCTCCTCCACCTATTTCCGATGAATCTATTCTGAATACAAACTTTCCTGGTATGCGTACATTGGACTTTTTGTTTATATTGACAATGTCTATTGTACGTGACCCGTTCACTACATAATATACTTTCCCGTCACCAGCATTAAAACCAATCTATAATTAAGTATACAAATAAAGAGTTTTTTCCCAATTTTTCAACTTATACATGTTCTCAAGTTTATGAGATTTTTAACGAGTACTGAATGATTACAAATATTTTTGTAGCTAAGTTAACTTTGTGCCCTCTCCCTTCTTTAAGTTCTGCACTCACCGAAAAAGTGCAGTCAACTAAGTTTGTAGTTTTTGCAATTGTTTGTAATAAAATAATTGTCTTTTATTTTTAAGTCAAGTAAATTTTATTTAAAGTCGGCATTTTTTACATAATATGACAATAAACATGAGCTCTGTACAGACTATCACAGCTAAAAATATCACAGAGAAAACATTTACAACATAATTTACATGCAAAAAAACACATGTAATATATAAACACGCAAGGCAGATAAAACAAATTTAAGAATTAGAAAAAAAAAAAGAAAATAGAAAAGCGAAATGATTGCATTAAGAAGAACAAAAATAAAAATAAAGAGAAAAAAATAAACATCACCATAAAAACAAATTAGATTAAGCACTACATTAAACACATATAATTGGATTAAAAAGCACTAATTATATTAATAATAGAAAAATAAAATTGATAGCTTTGAAACTTAAAGATTCAAGCAGATATAGTTTAAGGTAGGATTCTTCTCACATTTCTCGTATTTAAAAATTAATGAAATTTTCACAGAATCAAGAGGTCAATATCACTAAGTGATGGTATCAGTAAGATTCAATTTAACCGTTTAATATTAGAGGCAAGGTCAGGTCAAGGTCATTACCTTTTCCTAGACATTATGAATAAAAAAATACTGTTTCCAATCATGCGATCCCTACTTGTAATTCAAAAGATTGAATGTTTTTCTTTTTGCATAAAAAGATACTACCATATAGGGCCTATAAGATGATATTACCAAATTGACATGGATAATTTAAATAAAATGGATAATTTCTAATCCGAATTTCCTTTACTTTTCTTAATTTTTTGGGATAAATTAGTTTTTTTTATATGCTACCTATATTTAACTTTTTCTCATTTCACATATAGTAAAGTTGACACATAAAGGTACAAAATGATACAAAAACTAAAAGTTTTGATCGTTTACTAAGAGAGAAATAACACTTTTTACGGATTTTTGGCTCAAATCTGTACTTAAATTTGAAGCATTTAAAAGCCAACATAGTTCTAGTATGTGTAAAAAATCTTATTTATTTGATATATTTTGAAACTTTAGTCCCTTATTATTAATTTAACTTACTTTTGAAAATTTCTTCTACTTTAAGATTGCGTAAATATTACAACTAAATTCAATGTTCTATAATATATTTGAGAGGAAAGAAAATATTTTCATACGCCACCATTCCGCCAAAAATATATTCCCTGATAGTTTTCAAACACAGTTTACCATTTCTTTTTAAAGTTGTACAATTGTGACGAGGAAAGAAAAATATGGTCTTTTAAATCTCTTACACCTAAATATAAAAGACATATAAGCAAATATACTTTGAATATTTCATCTAGACAGAAACTATAGAGAAGAATCCTACCTTAACTAAAATAAAAGCACTTGAAATACACTTGACTGTGTGAAAACTGAAAAAGTATTAAAGCGTGCCCTGAAAAACGTCCAAAAGAGATTTTTAAAAATTATTAATTGAAGGTTTACAGAGTGAATTAAATACATCTCAGGGGGAAAATTACTGACCTGTGCAGGTTTTCCCCCAAGCCCAGTATCTGCATTCCCACTGCTTGCTGTTCCAGTTGTCCATTCAATGTTTGCGTAATTAAATATGGTAAAAGAATGTTGTCCATTTGTAATCAGTACAGCTTGAAAGGTATTTCTCTGAAAAGGTTGGACAGTGAGGATAATATTACTACAAAATTAATACATAGTAATGTTAACGCACAAGTATCACGCACAAATACGCAATCTTCAGTGTAAGAAAAACGCGCGTACCTTCAAACAACCAGTAGAGGAACATCCAAAAAAGGCCACATTATCCCATGTAGCTATGAAAACCCAAGCAGCGCGAAAACGGTAAAAGGCTGGGAGATTAGACTTTATTTCATTGGAAGCTCTCTCTAATATTTCTAGGTTTGTAGTTTCTCTGTACCGCACATTTCCTCCTTTCCTAGTATCCACATCCGCCCAGAAGGGAGTGATAAGTCTTCGGTCCCCATCCAGCGGAAAGGGATCCGGGGTATATTGTGACACAGGGGTCAGGAATGATATAGCACCATTTGTACTTACCTAGAAAGAATGCCAAATCTAAAAATATTCCAAACACAGTATTTAAAAATATGTTTATCTTCTATGCAATACTTACAATTAATTTGTCGTGTTGATGATTGAAGTAAGGGAATTTAGTGGAAATTGGAATATTGGGAGAACTTCCGTCATCATTCTTAACCATTGTAGTATCACCCCTGTCCTCACCAAAAGGATAAAAGTCAGAGATTGTCAAACTCTCCACGTGGGCCAGACAAACTGACCACAACAGGAATATCAGTAACGACATGTTTTAAACACTTCTTCAAATGTGTTGCGTTACTGAATTATGCATTTGACTTAACCTTGTTAGTATGTAAAGTCAATTTGTTAATCATTGTGTAAACTTCCTTTTTGTCAACTAGCCAGTAGTAAATTAGATATTTATAGTTATTTAACATACTGAAGGGCAAAAAGTTTATTGTTTCTACACACTTTGGGGTCCATTTTAAG